GGCGATGTATTGTTCGCAATCGACAGAAAAGTTGTACCAGTGGCCGAAGGATAGCAGGGCACGTAAATGGACATCTTTTATTCGCACGAAGCGAATGAATTTCACACCATCGACGGGTGTTCTCTACTATCTCCACTTCAAAGATGCCTGCTTTCTCAACCGGTCTGCTTATGATCAAGGATTTGCAAAAAAGTAAGTGTGATTTTTGGATAGATGATGACGATTTTGTCAAAGCATAGCTGCCAACTCTTGTGGAATGAACAGTAGAAGGTAGCGACGTTAGCCGAAAGCTAACTCGAGAAGCTAGCGACGTTGAACAGGAGAAGCCAGCGATAGCGACGTTAGTTTTCGGCTCGAGGCAAACCCCGATCGATGCTATTCATATCAGCGATGAGTAATAATGGCAGTCAGACAAACTGTTCTGGAAGTATATTTCAATAGGTTGGCAGCGCTGCTTTGTTGACGAATAAACATGACACGTCCTCTTGGAAAACTGTGCGACTAGCCCATAGGCAGTGAACTGCTTTGTAGATTATATGCGGCATAATTACATGCCAATTATTTTAGTTTCATGACGCGTATTAAACTTATCCTTTAGAGTACCGAGACTGGGGGAAGCTATGGAATGGAACTGGAGGACCTGAAAAGATGCAGTTAGGAGTTGGAAGGCTTCAATGTAAAAGTTGTCGTCACTGACAGGCATCGCCAGGTGGGGAAATGGATCAGGGAGAATTGGATATGTACCATGCTCATTTCCCAAATGAGGAATTTCTGTTATCAGGACAAATTGGACAGCGCAAACACGAGTCCGCACTAGAGAATATTTACTGTATATCATGCACGTCACTTCACAAGTTTTCATATATTAAATATACAGGTAGTGCAAGAAACTGGACTCCTTGGCCAAAAAGAAGAGCATGTCGATCCTGAAGGATTGGGTACAAAGTTTGAAGTGCCATTTGTACTGGTGTGCACTTTCCTCCCAGACACCGGAGGAAAAGAAGCAGTGTCTGGCATGTGTGGACCACCTGCAGAACATGCACGATAGTTGTTTACATCCTCCAATTACTAGAGAAAAAGCGTGGCTATTACCAGGTATTTTTTTTTTTTTGTTAGATGTTGCCTGCTAGTTAACCCTCAAAAATAGAAATATTGTCATACCTTGTAAATTCATTTAAAGGTACTGAAGTCAGTGTCGCAGTGGTGGAACTCCTGACAAAGACCATGTTTGTCAACGATGTCATGAAGATGTCTCACCTCGGACAGACCAGTGGCGTGGAAGCTTTTCACAGTGTGGTGAATCACTTTGCTCCAAAGATGTACTACTTCTCGTACAAAGGAATGAAAATCAGGTGTGTTAAAGAAAACTGATATGCATGAAATGTAGACTA